GCGATAGAATAACATATACGTACCGGAGCCCATGACGTATCTGGGAAACAAAACACCAAACAACAACATAAACATTAGAAAGATACGAACATTACAATTATTTATTAACAAATCATCAAAACTCGTAAGAAATCATAGAAAAATACGAACATAATATGCGAGAGGTGATAAACTATGAAATCTAAAAAATACCGCAGTCAAATAATGATTTGCAATATGCCAAAGAAGTATATATATTAATATATACAAAAATAGAGTCTCACTAATACAATAATATCTCATCGAATAAACAAAAATAAAGAAAATTTCCTATTTCCTATATGCAATAAGATAATTATGGAAGATTGCCATTAAATTTCGAATATATCCAAAAATAAACATCTATGCTTTTCTATGAGTCATACAAAAATGAAACCAAACAAATTAAAATTAAGCCCAAACCCAATTAGAATGTATAAATCGATGGCAACAAATGTAATTAAAAAGATTATACAAAATCGATTTCATTAATGGTTTTTTTTTTTCTCTCCGAAAATCGCTCTCATTGCGACACATCTCTCACTGCGACACATAACCAAAATGACTTCTCTTTTATAATTATAGATTTATTGACTGAGATAAGGGACTGTTAACTGCAATAGTAATCAATATTTCATTCCTGATACTACGGGGAAACCCCCAGCAATCACTCCACAAGTTTGTGTATTCATCATACTCACATATGACTACGAGTTTCAGTATTGACAACAACTTGATGAAAAAAAAAGAGTAGTCTTTAGAAAGAGTAGTCTTTCAAATCTGCTTTAGAGTCGTCCATGTCTATCTCACCCAAGCATTCTTCTGCAGTAAGCGGAGGGAGTTTACGGGTCTTACGTTTCAGGTTGTGTTTGTGCCAGTCACTCTTGCAGTGCTCTCTGTACTGCTTAGCCTCCCCAACAAACGTGTTGCAAGTGCTACACTTGGTCTCTTTTAATTCTCCTCCTTCTTGCTTTCTGTTACCTGTACCAATCTCTTGCTTCTGCATTTTCTTGCTAAGTTCAATCACGGGATCACTCAAATCCTCGGTGGTCTCACTCCCAGCAGGTAGTAATGGTTTCATGGTCTGTAATGCCATATCATCATGCTCATTGTAATGATCCATGCTTGTGTCACCTTCTGCATGAACTGACGCAGCGAGTATTTCTAGTCTTCCCTGCATCTTCCTCACGAGGGAATCACACTCCCGGTAAAGGCCTGGTTCTATTTCACAGACCTGCACAAGAACATATCACCACAATCAGTGAGGATGAGAAAAGACATATTTTCTTAGAGATATAGAGATCATTACAGTGGACATCTGGGTTCCAGATTCGTCTTTGGAGACAACACAAGCATCCCATTCTTTTAGCTTTTCCAGAAGCGAAGGGAAGTTTTGGACAGGAACGGTGAGGCGCAGTCTCATTGGAGAACGCTTTATAGGGAAGTGCTTTTGCAGCTCACGGATGATATCAAGGGCCTGCATAGTTTGATTAATCAATACAAAGCCTAAGAGAAGCTTTTCACAGGAAGTGCACAAGTCACTGCATTTCTAACATTAAGCAATTCACCTGCTTCTTGGAATTGCTGTGAGGATCAACAGCAAAATGAATTTCATGCATGAGGCGCTCAACCATGCTGATGGTATAAGGCCGTTGGGTTTCAGGGTTGATGGTTTTCTGCATAACGATTGTTGCAATATCCCGAAACTGGCTTGAGAACTGTGATTCTCTCTCTTTTCCAGCAACTTGAAGCTCTCCTTTGTCCAAAATCTGGACATTAGAGTTGAAAAGATGGAAATGGAACGTTATAAGACAAGTTTTGAGTGGTCAGAAGATCAAAATCAAAGAAATCAAACAAGTTTTGAACAATGAAAACAAAGCCAATAATAACAGACCTGCATGCATATTTCCGTATGATCCTCTGATCCGAATGCCTTCATCAAGTCTTTGGATTTGGCAAGAACTCCTTTCGAAACATTTGAATAAACCGTATGTGATTGCAGCACTTCATCTATGTCCTTCTCCCTGCATGACCATTTTCTAAACTCATTAGTTTTCTATTTATATCGCAAGAGATTCCATGAATACTAGACCAATTTTCTTCAAAAGCTAATCTTTGAAGACATCAAATAAACAATCGCAAACCTAAAACCGAAATCTAGGTCGTTTCCACTCAGATTAGGCAAACGCATGAGCCGTATCTAACATCATCTTCGCGTCAAATCCATCTATACTATACAACTTCCGTAGATACTTTACAGACAAATTGGGACTAAAGCCTCCACATGAACTCAATTTACACCAAATTCGGCAAAATCAAAGGCAAACGAAGATTGATTTTTCGATTAGAGTCAACGAATCATAGAAATTGGAAGATAATCAGAAGTGAGTGGTGAAAGCTTACACGCCGGACCGCCATGAAAGGACCTTATTCTTGTAGCAAGCGATCTCGAAGCGGTTGCCTTGCTTTTTCAGACGAACCACTGCAACATTCGTCAACCTCTTTTGCCCTACAGGCTGCACCAGCGTCTTCGACATCTCTCCTCCTCCTTTTCTTCTTCTCTCTCGTAACTTCCCTCTCGCCGCAACTGAGGGTATGATTATTGCAATGTATTAGGTCTCTTCTTTATTTTTTATTTTTTTTCTCGTCAAGTAGGTCTCTCTATGTATTTTACTTCCACAACTAAATACTAAATAGTGATAAATACTTTTATTTTGTTGATTAAAGGTGAACTAGAAAAAAAAAGGAAAATTACTGAAAAAATATTTTAACTTTATTAAATTGGCTGAAAAAATATTTTAACTTAACTAAATTGACTGAAAAAATACATAATTTTTTTTGGCTTTCTAATTAATACATCACCTACTTAACATTTTCTTTTATATATTCTAACTTTCAAAATTCGTTGATTTTTTACTCCATCGATGTTAATCCGACTAAAAAAGTTTATAAACGACGTTAGCTATAATAATAAAATTCGGTTTTGCTCTTTCTTATTCTTCCTCAAAACAAGATTTTCTTTCTCTTCTCTGTTGAACATCGATTCAAGCTCTTTCTGTGAA